AAACCTGTATGAGAGAGCCAGGCACGGTGGTGCATGCCTTTAATTTCAGCATTCAGGGGGTAGAGGCAGGAGGATCTCTGTGAGTTCAAAACCGGCCTAGTCTGCAAAGTGAGTTCCAGGCCAGATGGGGCTGTACCAAGAGCTTGTCTAAAAAAGCCAAATACCCAAATCAAACAACCAAACCAAACCTAAAGAAAATTTATGTGAGGCCCCTGGTTTAATCCCCAGCACACACTCACATGCAAAAGAAGAATGAAAAGGCAATCAAAAGAAAATAAGCAAAAATATAATACTGTTTTTAAAAATATTTTTTTTATTTATTTATTTTTTGATCTTTTTGAGACAGGGTCTCCCTGTAGCCCCAGCTGACCTGGAACTTGCTATGTAGACCAATGTGACCTGGAACTCGCTATGTAGACCAGGCTGGCCTTAAACCCCAAGAGATCCACCTGCCTCTGCCTCCCAAGGGCTGGGATTAAAGGCATGCGCCACCACACCCGGCTTTATTTATTATTTTTATTTTATGTGTATGAGTGTATTGCCTGCATGTATGTGAGTGCACCTGTGTTGTGCAATGCTACAGAGGTCAGAAGAGGGCTTTGGAGTCCCCTGGAACTGGAGTTAAGGACAGTTTGTAGCCGCCAAGTGGGTTTTGGGAATCAAACTTGGGTCCTCTGTAAGAGCAGTCAGTGCTCTTAACTGCTGGGCCATCTCTCCAGCCCCAGTAATAATGTTTTTTAACATTTCTAAAAACACCACAGCCCATTCCCTTGAAACTTTCTACTTAATAAGCCCAATACATTATTTAAGGAAAAGAACCAAAATCAGGACTGGAGAGATGGCTCAGTGGTTAAAAGCACTGGCTTCTCTTGCAGAGGACCTTGGTTTGATTCCCAGCACCCACAGGGTGGCTAACAAACATCTGTAACTCCAGTTTCAGGGGATTTGATGCCTTCTTCTGGCCTCTGTGGTACTGCACAACATGGGTGCATTTACATACATGCAGGCAGTATATTCATACACATAAAAAATCTTTTTTTTTAAATCAGAACACTATAAAATACCTGCTTATTTATATAAGAAAAATTGAATTTAAATATTCAAAAAGTGAGATATATTTAGGAACAAATAAGAAAATAAATCACTATTTCTACCTGTAAATAAGTAAGTCTACTGAAACTAAATATTAATTGAAGAAGGTAATTTTCAGAGTCAAAATATTTTTTTAATGTGTATGAATGTTACACTTGCATGTGTGTAGGCATACCCATGTCATTCAGTGCCCAGGGAGGCCAGAAGAAGGCGTTGGATCCCCTGGAACTGGAGTTCCAGGGTTCTGGGATTTGAATCCAAGTCTTCTGCAAGAGCAGCCTGTGCTCTTAACCACTGAGCCATCTCTCCAGTCCCAAAAATATTTATCTCAACAAAAAAGGAACTTACTTTATACTGTATACAGGAAAAAGGTTTCTAATCATAGAGTGGTGACATTAATATTTAAGAACTGAAAATATACTTGTTAGAAAGGGACAAGACAGCTGGTGCAGCTTTGAAAAATCACAGATTTCATTGCATATCATTTGAAAAGCCAATAAAATAAAAGGCTTACTGAAAATTCAATTTTTATTAGATCATCTCCAAGGAGTTTTTAAGAGCTGTGTGCATGGAAACATAGGGAGAGAAACTGAGTGGGAAAACTCCCAGTAATGATAGTTGTCTCACAGTGATGGGGAAAGGAGGCCCCTTGCCTCAAGGGCTCAGTTCAAATCTCACTACAAAGAATAGAATAGATTCTTGTATCAGGAAGGTAACTGAATGATAGATTTTTTTTTTTAGTTTTATGTATTATTTTTATTTTATGTGTATGCGTGTATTGCCTGCATGTAAGTAAGTGCACCCTTGTCGTGCAATGCCCAGGAGGACAGAAGAGGCTGTTGGATCCCCTGGAACTAGAGTTATGGACAGTTGTTAGCTGCCATGTGGGTGCTCGGATTTGAAACCAGGTCTTCTGCAAGAACCAGTGTTCTTAACCGCTGAGTCATCTTTCCAGCCCCAAATGACAGATTTTTTTTTTAAATTTTAGTATTTTCATTTTATGTGTATGCACGTATTGCCTGCATGTAGGTAAGTGCACCCGCGTCGTGCAGTGCCCTAGAGGACAGAAGAGGCTGTCAGATCCCCTGGAACTGGAGTTATGGACAGCTGTTAGCTGCCGTGTGGGTGCTGGGATTCAAACCTGGGTCTTCTGCAAGAACAACCAGTGTTCTTAACTGCTGAGCCATCTCTCCAGCCCATGATAAATTCTTTAAGGCCCTCTAATCCTCTAAAATCAAATATCCTAACTCCCAATAAAGGATGAGAATTGATGCACTGATAATTATAAACAAATATAAAAAATTCTATCATAAATAGTTCTCTTCTGAATGTTATTTCACTTATATGACCAACAGACATTAGTGTCCATAAGGCTCATTCTGTACAATGAAATCATTTGGGTATTATATCAAAATGAGTCTGTCACTGCAAGCCTCCATTCTTCATTGTTTTAGGCTTTACTGAGCTACAACAATCACATTTCAGAGACAGCTGTTGCCGATGCTCCCTCCTTCACAAGTTACAAGGACTTTTCTTAGCCATCCATTAAGATCAGCATTTTAGTAAGACACTATTATTCAGAAAGGGGTTTATACTGTTCCTAATAAGCAAATATAATGAAAATATGAGGTGATAAGCTATCTGTACCTCACAAACCCTTAGCCACCGTGAAAGGTATTTGCAGTAGCCTTCCTTATCCATGCTTTTGCTTAACAAGACTTTAATTACCCACATTTAATTGTGGCTGGAAAATATTTAAATGAAAAATTCTAAAAATAAACAATTCATAAGTTTCAAATGTCTTTTATCACAACATATTGTTATAATTATTCTGTTTTATCATTTATTATTTACTAATCTCTTACTGTACCTAACTTTTAAATTAAACTTTATCATTAAGGAAGCACATACAGGATAAAGTATATATAGGTCTCAGTACTTTTGAGGTTTCAGCCATCCATACTAGACTTGGAAAGTATACCTCATGAATGGGCAAGGGACTACTGTAAGGAAGAATAAGTGCCAAGGATCAGTGCTCCTAGGCACTGCTGATACCCGAGTTTGACTGTGAGAACACTCCCCCTCAACACATATGTGCAGGTGTGTGCAAGTGGAAGGCAGAGGTGGACACTGGTGTCTTCCTCTATCACTTTCCAACTTATTGTTTGAGACAGGGTTTCTCACTGATCCAAGGCTTACCGATTCAGCTAGACTGACTCTCCAGTAAGCTCTTAGGATCTGCCAGTCTCTGCTTGACAGCACTGGAGTTACATGTGCCTCACCATGCCTGGTTTTTTATGTGGGTGCCAGGACTCCAAACTTAGGTCCTTATGCTTGTATAGCAATCACCAAGTCAGAACTTCACATACCTGAGCCATCTCCCCAGCCACTCAAAGCAAGTTTTCTTATACTTTGTTAACTATAAACATTTTTCTAGACATTCCCTTAGAATCTTAGGATGGCTAGGCATGGTTGTGCACACCTTTAATGTCAGCACTGGGGAGGCATAGGCAGGCCAATTTCTGTTAGTTTGAGGCCAGCCTGGTCTACACAGTGAGTTCCAGGTCAGCCAGGACTGCATAGTAAGTCCCTGTCTAAAAACAACAACAACAAAAAAGACAGGCATGGTGGCACATGCCTTTAATGCCAGCACCGGGGAGACAGAGGCAGCGATCTATTATGAGATCGAGGCCAGTCTGGTCTACATAGCAAATTCTAGGCCAGGTGGAGCTACAGGGAGATCCGGTCTTCAAACAAACAAAAAAACAAAAAAACAAAAAAACAAGGGCCAGAGAGATGGCTCAGAGATTAAGAGCATTGGCTGCTCTTGCAGAAGAACCAAGTTCAAATACCAGCACCCACATGGCAGCTAACAACCACCCTTAACTCCAGTTCCAGGGGAGCCAATGCCCTCTCTATGGGCACTGGGTGACACAAGTATACTACTTACATACATTCAGGCGTAACACTCATGCACATAAAATAAATATCTAGTTTCTTTAAAAACAAAACAAAACAAAAAACCCCACCACAAATCCAAAAAAGTGAATTTTAATAAATGATCTAATTGGTAAAACTAAATCTTGGCCTCCAGCATTTTTTATAGTGCCCCTGAAGGGATGTGAACTAATCATATCATAATGTCCATTTAATAGAATTCCATACTTTTAACTCATGTGATTTTGTTTTCAACTCATGTGATTTTAAAAAGTAGAATAAAAGTAACTAACGTCTATAATATTCAGAAACACTGACTCGTCTCTTCAGACATAGTCTATATAGTATATGTTTACAAAAGGCTGCGTGAAAACAAAAGTGAAAACTGTTTACCTAGTTTTTTCCACCTATAGATTAGCAAGTGATTTCAGAATAAAATTTCAACTCCAAAGTAGGACACAGTGAAGTCAATATGACTACAGATTAAACACATTTTTTAAGCTACCAGGAGAAAAGATTAGGAATACTATTAATTGTAATACAAACATTCCTAAACTGAACAATTCCATACCTGATGATACTAGAATCACTGAGAAAGACAAACATATCATTTGCTAAAGGAGGTCAAATTCAGATATAATATAAAACAAAAACCTACTACCCAGAAGCTTATAAAGTATATATTCAGCTTTAAACTAGCAGAGATGGAGCTAGAGAGATGGCTCAGCAGTTAACAGCATTGGCTGCTCTTGCGGAGGATCCAGGTTCCATTCCTAGCACCCACATGGTGGCTAATAATCATCTATAACTCCAATTCCAGAGGATCCAATATCTTCTTCTGGCTTCTGTGGGAACTGCATGCACAGGTTCACTTATATGCATGTAGGCAAAACACTTATACATACAAAATAAAAATAAATAATTTAAACTTGCAGAAATGGTACCTTCATCAGGATACCTGCTCCACTTACCAGGATCATAATGATCTTGTGCATGAAAATTCAGCCGAGATGCTCCTCATTCCTATGTCAACCAAGAACTCTGAAAACAACATTAAAAGAATTACAAACACTAAATGACTTCTCTTTTTTCTTTTCTCCTCCTCTTTTTCAGACTAGGGCCTCCCTGTAGCCCCAGCTAGCCTGGGACTTACTATGTAAACCAGACTGGCCTCACATTCAGAGAGAGATCTGCCTGTCTCTACCTCCCAAGTGCTGGGATTAAAGGCCTGCACCACCATGCCTGCCTATTAAATGACTTGTTCTTTAAACACATTTAATATTCTCAACAAGAAACAAAGCAAATTCATGTAGTAAAATAATTCCTGAGACTTTATAGTAAAGCTACCCACCAGCTGTTATGGAAATGACAGCTGATGAGCTGCTAAACAGGAACTTCCCACTATACACTCTGTACTAGCAGTTGTTTCTCATCAATAGATGACTAACATTAGGTTCTTTGGTATAGAATGTGGAGATTCAGAACACTGTAGACTCTAGAACCACTTCTACTAGAATGGAAAAGCTTGGCATTTCTTTTAGACATGTTTGTGTCATGGGGCTGGCAAGATAGTTCAGCAGATCAAAGTGCTTGCTGTGCAAGCTTGGTGACCTGAGTTCAATCCCTGGATTCCACAGTGAAAGAATTCAGAGTGAAAACAGCAGACTGATGCCATTCCCACTCACACACACACACATATCATACACATACACACAAAAAAAAATTTAAAAAGATACTCATGTCACAAGTTTTAGCTACAAAAATCAAATAACATGCATGATAAACTATAATCCATACATGCATGATAAAATTATAAAGTACTTTAAAGTACTGTGTGTATATAAAGAAACAATCTTATTACAGTTAATTTTTTTTTTAATTTACAAAGCTGAATTTGAGCCTGGCATGGCGGTGCACATCTTTAATCCCAGCACTTAGGAAGCAGAGGCAGGCAGACCTCTGAGATGGAGGCCAGCCTGGTCTAGCAAGGACTACAGGCAGACCCTGTCTTCCAAAAAAAGCCCCAAAACCAAAAAATGTAATCTGTAGGCTGTAGGCCTATGTTCAAACAGTTTTGTGTTGGTTTTCATAACCAATTTTCGTAATTAAGTCTGAAGACTAAATATATAGCCTATGATTAAAGATGTAAGACTCCCTTTTCAGCATATCAATAGGATGCTTTGACAAAATCTGAGATACAGAAATTTAATCATTGCTTTATAGACTGTTTATCAGAGGTAACCCCTTCAGTGTAAGGTAATTCCATTTCATGGGTCCATCAGCCTGTCACCCATCAACACTGTAGAAAATGCACCAGAAATACAATCATGCCAGAAGATGGTCCAAAAGGGTCTTCAAGGTTCCTTACCAAATCAGCTGCTTATTCTAATCACAAAATTAACAAACCACCTAAGTGGGGGCCGGGGTGGGGGGGAGGTCAAAAACCTCACCTGAGTGAAGGCTGCAGGGATTAAGTTTTCACTAGAGAAAAAACGAGGAACAATCTAATAATGACGTTTTAAAATTAAATTTAAATGTAATTTGAAAAGGAGGCTGCAATGCAGAGCTTCAACCGCAAGTCTCCAAACTATGGGCTTGGCAGCCACAATACCTGTCTTCCTTAATGACTCACTCTCACTGAATGAAAAGCATAATCACAGGGCTCCTCCTGAAAAATCGAGAGTACTTTCGCGTGCTCCTTTACGGCATGCAGATGGGAGGCGCGCGCTGGCAACTTCACACAACTTGGAGCCAAGGGGGCTGAGGATGCCCGCGGTGTTCGTTAATGGGAATCGGGGTCGCGGGAGCGAGGCTCGGGTCACCGCAGACTGGGGGAACGACAACCTCCTCACGCCGCCGCAGGGGTGCGGAGCCCCATCCTCGAGTTCCCGAGCGCGAGCCGCAGCCCCTGGAAAAGTCAACTGCCTGTCGGAAACCGTTTGGCCTGAGACGTCCCCAGGCGCGTCATCCCCTGCAACCCACACGCCAGAAGCCAGGAGGGCAAGCTCGAGTGCGGACTCAGGGGCGAGAACAGGACAGCCGTACTCGCCGCGCCTGAGGCGTCGACCCCCAGCGCCGGGAGCACCACAGCCACGCCTCGCACGCCTCCTAAAGGGAGCACGACGCCTCAGCCCCGCATCGGGCTGCCAGGCTTCCCCCCGCCCTTTCCCCAGCTGGGCGTCGACCAGGAAGGACCACTACGCTCGCGCACACTCACCGCGCGCGCCGCCGTGGCGCGGCCTCCCGCCGCCCGAATCACTCTCAGCCCCGCCCCTCGCGCGGCGGGCGCGGTCACGTTACTGCGCATGCGCTCTCCGCGCGCCCGCAACCGCCGTGAGGACGTAAGTCCTTCGGCGTGGTAGTTTCCTTAGAGACGGAATCGACCTAAGCTGCGGCCACCGAGAGACCTAGACAGTGAGACTCCTGGAGAAGCCAAGATGCCCGCCAAGGACAAGAAGAAAGGCAAGAACAAAGGCAAAGACAAAAACAAAGACAAGTAAGGAGCAGCCGCGCAGAGACCCTCTCAGCCTGCCTTCCGGGTTTCTAGCTCGCCAAGCCTTTGAGGACAACTCCTGGGGTTCGTCCTTGGCCTGAGAGATCCCCACTGCGACCGAGATGAAGATCTGGTATATTCTAGTGGTGAAAGTTGTTCTTTTTGGTTCAGAGAACTTCAAGGACTGACTAGATTGAGTCAGATCTCCCGAGTACATTAGTACTGCTCACCATGGTGATTAGGAGTCGCCGCTAGAACACCAAACAATAGTTTTGAGTTTCTCAAGACATTGGAGTCACATATAGTGTCCAACACCACCGTATATATATGTTCCCCACAAGGGAATCCTCCAAACTTGTGTTTATAAATTCTAACACACACCTCTAGTAATCTCAGTACTTCTGAGTCTGAGACAGGAAGATCACAAGTTCTAGAGCAGCCTGGACAGCACAGTGAATATGAAGCTAGCCAGGGGTACATAGGGAGACCCTGTCTTTGAAAAAGAAAAAAGTAACTTTGTTTGGTCTGTGAGTGTAGCTCAATGTAGAGTACTTGTGTGAGGTCCTAGGTTCTATCCCCAACAAAAGTAATTTGTTTTAGAGAATAATTTCATGCTTAGTACAGAAAGCTTGAGAAATATGTAAAGTGTTAAGGAAAAAAGAAAAAAAAATCACTTGTCATCCTATCCAAAGATAACCACTACTATCATTTTTCAATATTCTGTGTTTCTGTAAGATGATTGGCTGATTATTTGTAGCCCTCTCTTTTGCACTTCCATCAGCCCCCAGTGTTGAGGATCAAACCCAAAGCCTCTAGTATGATAGGCAAGTGTTCTGCCACTGAGCCACATCTCTAGCTCTCTTGTGTTAAGGTAAATATTCTTCTAAAATGTAATTTAAAACACACACACCCATAAACTGCTCAGTCTGTCACATTCTGAAAATAAACATGGGCAGCCGGGCGTGGTGGCACACACCTTTGCTTCCAGCACTCAGGAGGCAGAGGCAGGCGGATCTTTGTGAGTTCAAGGCCAGCCTGGTCTACATAGTGAGTTCCAGGACAGCTGGGGCTACAGGGAGACCCTGTCTCAAAAAGACCAAAAATAAATTAAATTAAAAAAAAAAAACACGGGCATATCACATTTCTGGAACTCATAACCATGTTTTCTGATCTTGGTTATTCATGGACAGTACATATGTGAACAGGGAAAACAATAGCACACCTTGTAGTCCTTGGATGCTCTGTAGCTCATTGTTTGAGAAACCCTACAGTGTTTCTCTAGTTAATGGTCTTGTTACAGGCATCTACTTTTTAAAATTTTTATTTTTAGAGCTGGGCGTGGTGGCACAAGCCTGTAGTCCCAGCACTTGGGAGGCTGAGGCAGGTGGATCTCTGTGAGTTCAAGGCCAGCCTGGTCTACATAGTGAGTTCCAGGACAGCTGGGGCTACAGGGAAACCCTGTTTCAAAAAGACACCCCAAAATTTTTAAAATTTATTTTTATGTGTACAAGTGTTTTGCTTACATGTATGTAAGTTCACCTTTGCATACAATGCCCACAGAGGTCAGAAGAGAGCATTGTATCTCCTGGAACTGAAGGTACAGATGGTTGTTAGCTGCCATGTGGATGTTAGGAACTGAACCTAGGTCCTTTCCAAGAGCTCTTAACTGCTGAGCCATCTCTCCAGCCCTGTAGCATCTAATTTCTTTCATCAAGTACACTTGACACCTTCATGGAGCAATAGGATACAAGTTGTAGCAAGGCATTCTATCACTAGTGTCTAAATCACATGGGAAAGGAAGATCAACTGCTGTGTCAGGCTGAGGAACTGGGTGGTGTGCTGGCCTGAATTTGAAGAGAACAAAAGATAGGCATGCAAAGTTACTGAAAGAAGTTGAGTGGATATGGAGGGTGACAATGTTAAGTAGGAAAGTCACTCATACACATGTGTGAGAATATGCAGAATTCAAATACGGCCAAACTTTTTCTACATTATCTATGCATTTATATAGCTAATGTCTTATCATATAGGGCAGTATTTTTGTCAATATTTATCTGTTTGTTTGTTTGTTTATTTATTTATTTATTTATTTAGTGTATGTATGTGGGCCCAGTTATTTGGTGTTTTTGAGACAGGGTCTCCCTGTAGTCCCAGCTGGCCTGGAACTTGCTATGTAGACGAGGCTGGTCTTGAACTCACAGAGATCTGGCTGCCTCTGCCTCCCAAGTGCTGGGATTAAAGGCATGCACCACCACGCCCAGCCTTATCTGATACTTATTTTGAAAAATCTGTTGTCACTTAAAGCTTTGACTATATCCTTTTATTTATTATGGTTCCGGGGATCAGTTCAACCTGTAACCTGGTATATGCTAATCATGCAGTCTACTGCTACCAGGCTATAACCCCAAGCCTTTTTATTATTTATTTATTTAGTTAGTTAGTTAGTTAGTTATTTTTTGGTCTTTTTGAGACAGGGTCTCCCAGTAGCCCCAGCTGTTCTGGAACTCACTATGTAGACCAGGCTGGCCTTGAACTCACAGAGATCCACCTGCCTCTGCCTCCCAAGTGGGATTGAAGGCTTATGCCGCCATGCCTGGCTATTTTTTTTTTTTTTGAGATTTTATTTTTATTTTATGTGTATGAATGTATTGTCTGCATATAAGTGCACCCATGTCATGCAGTGCCCACAGAGGTCAGAAAAAGGCGTCTGATCTCCTGGAACTGGCGTTAATGGATGGTTGTTAGCTGCCATGTGGGTGTTGGGAATTGAACCGAGGTCCTCTACAAGAGCAACCTGTGCTCTTAACTGCTGAACCATCTCTCCAGTCCCAAGCCCTTTATTTTTTTTAATTTCTCTCAATTTTTTTTTCTCCATCTCTGCATAAATGATTAGGGTTTGTTTCTCAGGCATCCTTAAAGCCTGATGTACTGTGGTACCAGCAAATAAAGTATTTAACATACTGGCCCAAGTGACTTGATCTTTTCCATGGAGAGAAACAAGGCTCACAACAAAGTGAACAGCAGTAGAAAAGATTAGAGGCTGGGACTGTGGCTCATTGGTAAAGCACTTGCCTAGCATGCTCGAGGACTTGGGTTTGATACCCAGGACAGCAAAAATAAATAAGTAGATACATAAAAATGTGGAAGAGCCAGGTATGGTGGTGCATGCCTTTAATCCTAGCACTTGGGAGGCAGAGGCTGGCGGATCTTTGGGAGTTCAAGGCCAGCCTGGTCTACATAGTGAGTTCCAGGACAGCTGGGGCTCCAGGGAGACCCTGTCTCAAAAAGACCAAAAAAAGGAAGAATCAAATAAATGAGATGTAAAAACTCCATGAGATACAATTAACTTTTGTCTTTCCTTGTTTTCCCAGTCCTTTAAAGTTATACTTCAGAGCTGACCTCTTTGAGAAAGATGCACCTACTTAAATCTCTTACATGAATACAAATAAATGTATATTTCTTATTAACTCATTCATCCAACAATATATGCTTTTATGTGCCGGGCAGTGCCAAGCAAAACAAAATAGAGATAATACTACTAGAGAAAAGAAAGTTATATATTGTCAATGTCCTCTTCTCACACAGGAAGGTAATAAAACAAGAAGACTCTGTGATTCATCAAGCCAAAGCCAGTGCTTCCCTCTGGGAGGCCAGGTTGGAAGTCACAGAACTCTCTAGGATTGAGTATCTTGAGACTTCCCGAAGACTGGCAAAAAATAATGAGGACTTAAAGAATCAGCAGTATAAAATGGAAAAAGATACAATGTCTGTATTAAGCTACCTGAAGAAGCAAGATCAAGAAAAAGATAATATGGTAGGTAGGTAGAAAACCATGTGAGCCTCAAAATGTTTCTCTGTGATTATGTGGCATGGTTATATTTTTCAAAGATTTTAATTCTTTGATATCACATAGTTAAGACATTATAGTTAACTCAACTCTTCTTGAAGCAAGCTGCTATTTCAGAATGGCTTTGCTGTCTATGGCACTTTCTTACTTTCAGTTCATGTCTCATATTTTCTTGTCTGAAACAGATGGATGATCATATAAGAACATTATGAACCACTTTATTTTGAGGATAAGAGCATGGTATGTGATCTATATATTTTGATACCAGTAAACAGTTTTAATGATTTATAAAACAATTTACTCATAATCCATGATCACACCATGACCCAGCAAATTAAATATCTCTCTCCTCCTCTTCCTCCCTCTTTCCCTCCCTCCGTCCCTCTCTCCCTCTACAGTTGAATCTTGTTTCTTATTGTATCTTATTCAGTGTTAAAAATAAAGCTACCAATTTTGGGCAGGAGAGATTGCTTAGTGGTTAAAGCACTTGCTGCACAAACATCATGATTCACCAAAATCCATGTAAATTCTGGCCCACCTGCAATTCTAGTTTCATAAATCAGAAATGGAATCCCCAGAGCAAGTTGGCTATTAAGACTAGGCATATCAAAGAGTGCAGGGTTTCCCTTGAGAGACCCTACCTCAATGAACAAGGTGGAGGGACAATAGAGGATAATTGCTGACATCAATCTTAGGCTTCCACTTGTACCTGGAATGTGCATGCACACTCATACACATGCACACACCCATACATGTGCACACACCCATACATGAGTACACACCTATACACGTGCACACACACAAATGGAAAAAAATTTATAGAATTTAAGTTATTTTAGGTCTGGAATAAAATGAGCACACCTGTACTCCGGGAACTCAGGAGAGATGAAAAGAAGAGGATTGGGAGTCCTTGGCCAGCCTGGAATACATAGCAAGTTCCTGTCACAAAAATACAAACAGTACTGTAAGCCTGCCCAAAAACCTATAGCTGGAGAGGTCAGAGACCCTAGGGAAGAACCTCCTACTGCCATTTGTCTAAAAACAAATAAGAACCAGGCATGTTTGTGCATGCCCATAATCCTAGCACTTGGGAAGGCAGGAGGATCAAAAGTTCAAGGCCAGCCTTGGCTATCTATGTAGCAAGTTAGAGGCCAGCCTGAGCTAAGTAACACCCTTTCACAAAACAAAACTCTAACAACAAAAATGTATAATTTCAGTATAACTCCAAATTCTCTTTTCCTTCTGCTTCTATAAGGTGTTTGGTGACCTCCGGAAATTTCCACCAAATTAAGAATATATGCTTTGTACTTTTTATACTTTTGTTATTTTTTTGAGAAAGAATTATCAAGCTTGGTGATAAGTTCTCTTTGAGCCATCTTGCCAGCCCCCTTGCTTTTTAAAAATGTTTATGTGTAGCTGGGTGTGGCGCACACCTTTAATCCCAGCACTTTAGAGGCAGAGGCAGGCATATCTCTTGTGAGTTCGAGGCCAGCCTGGTCTCCATAGCAAATTCAGGCCAGCTGGGGCTACAGGGAGACCCTGTCTCAAAAAGACCAAAAAAAAAGTTTATGTGTATATATGTGTGCCTGAGTGTATAGATGTGCACCGCATGTTTGCAGGTGCTCTTGGAAGCCAGAAGAAGGTGTCACATCCCCTAGACATAGAGTTACAGTTGTGAGCTGCCTGATGTAGTTGTTGGGAACCAAACTCAGATTCTCTCTAGGAGCAGCAAGTGCTTTTAAACCACTGATCCATCTCTCCAGCCCCTAGTTTTAAGAATACATTATAAAAACCCTAGGGACTGGTGAAATGGCTGGTGAAATAGTAAAGGCTGATGACCTGAGTTCAGTCCACAGAACCCACATGGTGGAAAGAAAGAACAGATTCCCATAAGTTGTCCTCTGACTTCCACATGCATGTCCACACACACACACACACACACACACACACACACACACATACACACACACAAACACCCACACAAACACACTCAATGTGTAATAAAGAAGATGGCTCAGCAATTAAGAGCACTGGCTGCTCTTGTGGAGGACCATGGTTCAGTTCCTAACATCTACATGGTGGCTCATAGCTGCCTGTAACTCCAGTTCCAAGGGATCTCATTCCCATTTCTGGCCTCCCCAGGCATCAGGCATGTGTGTGGTATGCATGCATACATGCAAGCAAAATACACATAAAAACATTTTAAAAAATAAGCCAGGCATGGTGATGTATGCCTTTGATCCCAGCACTTGGGAGGCAGAGACAGGCAGATCTTTGTGAGTTTGAGGCCAGCCTGGTCTATATACAGGTAGATCTCTGAGTTCAAGGCCAAACTGGTCTACATCATGAGTTCCAGTCAGCTGGGGCTACAGGGAGACCCTGTCTCAAAAAGATTTTTAAAAAAGTACATAAATAATATACATAAATAAAATAATAGATCTCTTAAAAATATTTGTATTAGCTGGGTGTAACATGCCTTTAATCTCAGCATTTGGGAGGCAGAGACAGGTTGATCTCTCTGAGTTTGAGGCCAACCTAGTCTACATAGCAAGTTTCAGGCTAAGTCAGGGCTGCATAATGAGGCCCTGTCTCCAAAATAATTTTTTTTTTTTTTGGTCTTTTTGAAACAGGGTCTCTTTGTAGCCCCAGCTGGCCTGGAACTCACTATGTAGACCAGGCTGGCCTTGAACTCAGAGAGATTTCGCCTGCCTCTGCCTCCCAAGTGCCGGGACCACAGGTATGTGCCACCACACCTCGCTCAAAATAATTTAAAAATGTGTGTGTGTGTGTGTGTGTAGGCCAGAGGACCACTTCAGTGGTTGGGGATGCTGTCCACCTTTTTTTGCAACAGGATATATTACTGTGCTCAGCTCACCCATTGGGCTAGGCTGGCTGCCCAACAAACCCCAGAAATCCACTTACCTCTCTGACACTGGAATTACAAACATGAACCACCAGGCCTAGCTTTTACATGGGTTCTGGAGGTCAGACTTGCGGCCTTATGTTTGCAAGGGAAGCACTACTGATTAAGCTATCTCACTAACCCCATACAACTTGACTTTTGTTTAGGGGTGTTTTTTGATTTTTTTTTTAAAGTGGTGTCTCCCTAGATTGTCTAGGTTAGTCTCAAACTCCTGGGCTTGATCAGTCCTCCTAGCCTCTTGAGGATAAGCTTAGACCACCATGCCAGTTCATCAACTTGTTTTGTTTTGTTTTGTTTTTTCTTTTTAAATTTAGTTCTCTTTCTGTGATATATTAATAAAAATTACTTTAAAATCTTATGACAAGCATGTTCTGTGTCATTAACTTTTTATATTTTACTAGAAAAACAAAAGTCCTATCACTCTATTGGTTGGCTAGATTCCATTTTTCCATTGTTACAAACAAATCTTCAGAGGCTGGAGAGATGGTTCAGTGGTTAAGAACACTGGCTGTTCTTGCGGAAGACCTGGGTTTGAATCCCAGCCACCCACATGGCATGTAATAACTGTCCGTAACTCTAGTTCCAGAGGATCCGACGGCCTCTTCTGTCCTCCCAGGCATTGCACGACACAGGTACACTTACCTACATGCAGTCAACACACACATAAACATAAAATAAAAATAAATTAAAAAATAAAAAAACCCCAAATCTTCAGTGAAAATACTTGTATACATATGAGAGATTCTCTAGTCTAGACCTGGAATTGAGATTTTACATCATGGGTATACACAACTTCAACCTCACTAGGTTTTAAATTGAACTCCAAAGGAGTATATCAATGTATACTGTTACAAATGATGTATTAAAGTATTACTTGCAATTAGATTAACACTTGATATTACACTTAATAGTTTTTACCAATTATATAGGTATAAATTTAGGGCAGCCAGGCATGGTGGCGCACTTAATCCTAGCACTTGCGAGACAGAGACAGGTGGATCTCTGTGAGTTCAAGGCCAGGCTGGTCTCCATAGAGAATCCAGGCCAGCTGTGATTACAGGTAGACCCTATCTCAAAAAGACCAAAAAAAAAATTTAGACTTAGCACAGTGGTGCAAACTTATAATCCCAACATTCAGGAGACTGAGGCAGGAAGATCATGGGTTTGAGGCCAGCCTAGGCTGCTTAATGAGAATTTTTTTTTGTCTTTTTGAGACAGTGTCTCCCTGTAGTCCCAGCTGACCTGAACTCACTATGTAGACCAGGCTGGCCTTGAACTCACAAATATCTGCCTGCCTTTGCCTCCAAAATGCTGGGACTAAAGGCTTGCACCACCACACCCGGCCAAGAATCTATCTTTTAAAAATTGTATCCCCTAGGCCTACATGACCCACAGTCCTCTCTCTGACCTGCAGGCCTCTCTCAGGGACCAACCCAGCTCCTCAGTGCAGTCCCCAGGAGCCCTTGGGGCCGCTTCCCGCCCCCATCTTCCTTTGCATCTCTGGGTAGCACTGCCGCCAGCTGCCCTAGACCAGCATCTTTCCGGGGCCTGGCTCCCAGGCCAGTCAAACCCCCCAAATTTCTGAGGCCAAAATCTTTCCTGGAGGGATCCAGACCTTAGGAGAAAGCCTGAGAGCATCTGATCCTCATCTGACTTGGGCCTCTGTGGGAATTCCTGAAGACAAAAGCAATCGGGCCACTCCATTATAAAAATCAAAAGAGAGAACCTGAAGCTTAGAGGAACCAGCTTTTCATGCCCCAAAAGTAAACCACAAAGGCACATAAAGTTTACAAAAAGAAGCAGACCTAAACTTGAAGGCTTGAGTCTCACACAAGAATCAGAAACTACAAAAGAAATTCACATGTCAAAATCACAGAGAAAAAATAACATGAGAAACGAAAATAACATATCCCCACCAAATACCAGTAGTCTCTAGAGGAGTACAATGAGAACCCCCTAGAGATAATGCAGGACATGGAACACAAAAGAACAATTATAAACATGATAAAAGAATCCAGTGACTTTAAAGAACACAAATCAAACA